CATGTGCGAGTTTCTGCCTGGTCTCCCCTGTCACACGGTAGCATAGAGCTACTCGCTTATTACCAAACAAAGGGGAAGAGAAATCCTTCACGTGAGACGGTACAAGGGGGGTGGGCCAGTGCAGGACTGCATAAAAAGGCCCCCACAGTGGCGCTCCTCCCGAACGCTGTGCAGGAGCCGCTGTTTTTCATTAGCACACCGTCGGTGTGCCGTGCCTGCGATAATTAGCCCAGTGCTGAGGCTTAATTAAGAGCACTAAACTGTCTCGCTCCGAAGCGTGAGGCAGGCGCAGGAGGGGAAGGGCTGCGACACGCGTGCTGCAAGAAAAAAAAAAAAAAGAAGGGAAAAGGAAAAAGCAAACACACCCCCCCAACTCTGGGGTTTGGAGTTTCCTCAGTAGTAAAACCCTTTCTGGCAAATGGGGCCAGAGCAACGGCTGGCAGGCGGTCAGGCTGAGCTAAACGCTTTGGCCTGTATTCTAATGAAAACCACATTTGGAGCCGGAGACGCTTTACGTGGCAGTAAGAGAGGAGAAGCAGGAGCCGTGCTCTCCTGCAGCCCCAGACAAAGATCCCCGCGTTTCCCCCTCGCCTCCCCGCCAACGGCACGCTTCCGAAGCGGATTTAAACTCACCTTTCATTCCCATTTCCCAAAAAAGCACCACGGCCCGGCAGGCTTAAAAAGAAATCTGCCATCCTCCACGTTAGACGAGTTTCAAAGTGAATTTGACGCTGAAACTTTCTCTGGTTTTGATCAGCGGGAAGGCAGCCGACCTGCCGAGCCCCCCCTTCCAGATAACGGAGACACACTGGCACGTCCCGGGAAGGAGCCGGGGTGGGGAGCAGCCAGCCGGTGCGCTCTGCATGCCCTGAAAGCCGAACAGCATCACGAGCCCCATAAACACCGCTAGCCGTGGCTCTCGTCTTACCGGCCACTGAAACGGCGCGATCCTGAGCAGGCGGCGGGATGGAGAGGAGGAAGAAATGGAGGGGGGTCCGAAAGCAAGAGGCGGCAGCGTGGAGAAGGGGGCTGCCGTGGTCCGTACAGCGCAGGCACAGACAGAGACAGAGGCAGAGAGGCACGGCGGCGTGGCGTGGGGACAGAAGAGCGATACCTGCTGCACCATCTTGGCCCCTTTCTCCTCCATGAAGCGAGCGGCTGCCGGAGCGGCGGGGGCCCTGCATGCGCCCGGAGCCAGCCAGCAGTAATTACCGAGGGGGGAGAGCGCTTCCCGGACATCGTCGGCAGCGTGCGCTGGGGGGAGGCCGTTGCAGCTGGCTCAGCCCGCCCCCTCTCCCCCCCCCACCCCCGGTTGCGCTAACATGCGCACGCACACACGTGGCGAGCGTGTGGGCCAGCCAGAGCCCCGCACAGCACCCCCCCAGCCTCTCTCGGCACACGCTGCAGGTTGACAAACGTTTTTAATTTTGTGGAGCGCCTCACTCATGGGACTGCTCACATTCGGCGCGATTAAAAGTATAAATCGGCCCAGAACACCACCACCCCCCNATCATGTGATATGGCATGTGATGTATCATGTGACATGTGACATAGCATGTGGCAGTTAAATCCAGATGTGGAAACAACTAGACATATGCATAGCCATGGCTCTAAAATGGCTTTAAAATGGAGTTTTGTTACCACTGAATGCCAGGAAAATTCAGCTTTCAAAAAGAAACAGCCATAATAACATGATGCACTGGCTCCCGTTACGCAACAGCGCAGCGTTCGGGCAGCAGAGCTGCCGCCCTGCCCACGGCTTGGTCGCGGGCAGCTGCGTTTATTCCCCATGAAGCGCCATCCAGCCAGGCGGTGCCGGGCGGGCGAGGCAAGGAGGCGGCACAGGCGCAGCGCATGACTCAGGGAATCCTGGGGGCTCACATGGGGGCCGCTCATCACACATTCCCATTCTGGGAAAGGTCACCACCGAGGTCCAACTGCTGTCCTGGATTCTCCTCGCGATTAATACAGGGGTGCCTTATATATAGGGGGGAGGGGGATCCCTAGGTGGTCAGCCTGCTGGGAATTGTAGTACAGATATCCATACATTAAAAAATAAACTACAAAAAGGGGCCTACAGATGGAAGGAGCCAACGTGGTTAGGGTTAGGGTCCTGTGCTGAGCAGCCGCTCTGGGAATGCGGACCGGCACACTTCCATGTCTATCTGCAATTTTCCACTTAAACCCCAGCTTTTAAAGGGGGTTTCTGACCCTGCGACTGAGTACATGGCCCTGGACTGGAGATCATGTACCGGCTGAGCAAACATTTAGGATTCATAGCAGCGAAGGGCAGAGAACCCCCCAGGAACAGGCTACATCTGCTGAGGGGGCTGGGGAGGGGGCTTCCTACTATTGATTGTGGAGATGATAAAGCATGACGAGGTCACAACCGTCCTTCAGAATTAGGGACAGAACTGATGCCTCCCCGGTGCCGTGCGCCAGCAGCAGCCAGGTTCACGCTGTTTATTTGGTGGTACCCCTGATCCATTTAGGCGCCAGCGCTTTGTTAGCTCCCCCCCCAGGAACACGTTAAAAATGTCTTCCCCACGTTTCCAAGGCAACTCTAGCAAATGGCCAGCTAGCAAGGCTGGATGTAATTAAATTTGACAACATTCTGACTCCAACTTTACACGGCTTCGGCTTGCTTTCCGGAGCTGGAGTATCTGAAGGACACCCCCTCCCCCCACTTCCCGCTTCACTTACATCACTCAGGCACACCGGGTTCGATATGCCACATCACCGCAAAGCACCAGCAGAAGGCCCAGGCTTGGCCCGGCCCGGCAGCTGTCTGGTCTGGCCCCGGAGACCGTGCTGCTCTTCCCATAAGTCCTGCGCCCTTGTACTGGGGAGGCTCCCCCTCTCATGACAGCCAATAGCATGTAGCAATCACACTTACAGGAAATAAGCCCACTCCAGTGGGCCGGGGGTAGGAGGGGATGGGCAGCATGTCGCAAAGTCAAAGCAGAAGGCTTAAGGCGGGTAATTGAACTGTCAGGTGGACGATTCCCCCCCCCCCCCCCCCCC